CCTCCAGGCAGGACCACAACATCATAAGGCCCCTAAACAAAGAAAGATAAAACTGCTCTGTTGAATAGAGGCTGATACTTACATTACACTGTTTGAAGACCACTACAGCTGATTCAAGCGGAAAGCAAAGAAATCTACCTTTTCTTACACTGAATAACACTTTATAATCAGAAAACCAGTTCCAATTATGAAAAAAACCCACTATTTCCTGTTCCAGGGAAAGCCCATTATCAATTAAGTCTCTCACAGAACTGACTTTTAAGCCTAGTGCCCTTAAAAGCTACAGCAAGCAAGCGACAGCTTTTGTGTTGTAAAGGCAAGTGGTTTTGCTCCAATCTTACTGTACAGGTCTAACATCATTTAACTTCCCATCAGAATTTTTGAGTTGGCCCAGATCACAGTATTTTGTTGAGCCAACAAAATAAAGCTCTGGGACTGATGCTTTGCAAAAACAATCACCTGGGCAGAATTAAGAAATCTGTCTGAACCTAGCAGGCTATGAATCAGGATATCACTGAAGGGAGGCACAGTGGGATGTGCAGTTCTGTAACTCACTGCTACACAGAGTTAATACAACATGCAACATATGTCCAAAGATAATGCATAGGCTTTCCAAATTCTCCTCAGAAACTGTGAGAAAGAATATGATGGCCATTATATCACAGAAGGTTGATGACCAACCTCTTTTCTGGCATCTTCAAGACTGGCATCAGGACAAATGAAGACATCTCGACTGCACTGTACTGGTTCTTTTCCTGTTAGGCCTGCAACAGTCACCTTGATCTAATAGGAGAAGAAATATATTATTACAAAACGAGAATTTGGGGTATTTTTCTTATATGTTAGTTCTTAAGTGGTACACAGAACAAGCAAAGCTGTACTGAGAGCTTGTTCCTCTTAGGAGAGCCAAAATGGGGAACACATGGAATGACAAAGGTAGTGGGAGAAGGTAATTTTTGTTTCAGTCATTTCTACATAAGTGGTGTGTTTAATTAAAGTATTATTTTCATTCCTAATGAGATGATAACAGTGTGCTACTATAACTGCAAGAGTAACAAACAAAGTGAGGAATCCCAACAGCCAGAACTGTAGTTAATAACTGAATTTCAAAAGTAGCTCAAGAAAAGCTATGCAATGTCATGGGAGGTAATGTACTGAGCTTTTCAGACCCCTACAAAAGAGGCACTTCCAGTTACTATACATGGAAGTAGCTGTGTTTTCCGACAGAGTAAGATTTACTTGAAACAGTTGCTCTAGTCCACATTAGACTTATATTTTGAAAGGTTACCAACAAATGTCAGCTGTCAGGAATCCTCATTAGGTGCATGGCACAAATATTTGCTAAGCAGTAAGGTGATGAGGGTAAATTTTCACTTCACACAACAGACCATACACTGAATTCCTGGCAATGAACATCAGCTTGAGGCAATGACTTCCCCTTGACCAAACACTCACAAAGATTGCTCACTGTCTGCATACTCACCCCTGCTCTTCTCATAACATCAGTGGGGATTACAGTTTCCATCTCCTCTGCCCCTTTAGCCAGAATCACCAATGCTCTCTTTGAGGCCATGTCTTGAGGGGCTGCTATCAGGGAGATGGTTGTGAAGGAAGTGGCTGAGAGGGGTAGAAAGACAAAGTGGTTAGAAGACAAATCCCCTTGTATGAATCTTTCTCTATGTTGAAATTAAACAGCAATTTGTGCTTTTGCACGTTCTTTCACTTGAACCTCAAAATGGTTCACTAGCTTCAATCAATATTCATAGCAATCCCATTTAACTAATGAGCTTTTTAAAAAGAATGCATTATGATATCAAAAGATTAAGGCACTTGTGCAAGGGAGAAGCACAGGACATCAGCACCAGAAAAGGAAGCAGCTTGGCCTAATCAAGACTTTATATGACCTGTGTCTGCCAGAGAGAGGGGGTCAGGGTGGGCGGCAGAGCTGTTTTCAATTCGCGCACCCTCACTCATTCCGAGACGACTGACTCCTACCCAGGTCAGTGCTTACAAAAAGGGCTTGCATGAGCTCTGACCTCATGTCTGGTTTTTAGTTTCCACACAGCATGCTTCATGAGGAGTTTCCTGTGACTTAATAGTGACTCGACCAGTGCCCCTGCAAAATCTCACCAACAGATTTTCTGGGTTATTTTGCAACTTTGTGGGGGAAGAAACACATGTGCACATGTGTGATGGGGGAGCAGACCACAGAATTTAGCAAATGGAACAAACCAGGCTTAAGACTTTTTTTTTTTTTTTTTTTAGCTTCTAAGTTCAAGCTGAGGTGAATGGCCAAATTTCCATTTGAAGGTTAAGTTAAAGTAACTTTACATCATGTAAAATACTCATTAACTCATACAGGTCTGAGAGAAGTCTCTGAAAGCATTTGTGATGTGAGAAGGCATTTCATAGGTTACTGCTCTAGAAGACAGAGATTTTTGTCCTGTGCAGGGACCTTCCATCTAGAGCTGCATGTAGTACCTGGGAGCTCTTTATAAAATGATGCATGTTTAGGTGCCTACATAAAATAAAATCATCCTCACCCTGCTTCAACTTCGCCCGTTTTCAGGTTTGTTCCCTACCGGAAGCCTCCTTTAGAATGTAATTTCCAGAATGCAGCAAAATACAGCACAACATCCCACAGCATGCTGAACCAGCCCAAGCACAATAATTCACTGTGTCAAATCCTACTTTTAGGGCAGCTTTATGTACTGTCAATGCAAAGCCCACTGATCAAGTAGATCCAAATCACAAGTATTAGTAATAACTTCAGGACAACCTACAGCTTCTTAATAGCTTGTCTTGAAGGTACACATTGATTCTGCAAAATTTTCATATGAATTTGACTAAAAATTACCTGAACAACCACCATGCAGAAATGCTGCATTTGCTTTTTATTGAAGAGTCTAGATTACAGTTTGCATCCCTGTCTTTCATTAATTCTTTATGAAAACAGGCATTCTGAAACCTTTACTTTCTCCTAGTTTTGCAAAATGCAGTCTCTCCATAGTGCCTTTAGATGACGTACAACACTGCCAAATTCTTGAGCATTAATACTGTTCTTCATGTGGGTGCACATGTAAGTAGCTGTCCCACTACTATGGAAAGACAGTTTTTAAGAAGGCAGAACTAAGTTACACAGATGTAACAGCAACTTCATTTAACAAGTCATTTAACAAGCTACCTACACATAATAAGTGCCAGTCTCTCATTTGCTCCTCAATGCCAGCTAAGGCTGCCTCAAACCTATCAGCCAAACGTACTGCCCTGCGTGGGTACACGTGCCTTTCTGGAGATGGTGACTGAATCAGAAACTCTAACAAGGGTACCTTTAAAAAAAAAAATCACACCCTTCAGTGCCCCTACCACAGAGCCCGCTATTCACAGGCAGGGGACGGCTGCTCGCCAGCGCAGCCAGCCCGGGTGGACCGGCCGCATCCCTGTTTTCATCTGCTCCTTTCGGGACACGGCGCCATTCCACGCAGCAGGGACGGCACAAGGCCGTGCCCGGGCCGAGGCCGCCTCACGGCCACGGCGGGGGGCTCGGGGCCTGGAACCGAGCTCCGCAACCCCTCCCGACCGCCGAACCCTCCGCCCACACCGACCCCCCCGCCCGCCGGGGCTCTCTGCTCCGGGCCCGCGGGGGCCGCAGCGGCGGCGGCCACAACTCACCTCAGCGGGGCCGCGGGCGGCTCTGGGACGCTCCGCCCCGGGCCCGCCCGCGCTCTGCCCCGGCACCTCCCCGGCACCTCCCCGCCGCTCGCCCGTGCTGCCTTTGCCTTGCCGACAGAAAGCTCCGCTTTTCTCACGGTGCCCAGCACCGTAACAAGAGTCACCTCCGACCGCGAACCGAGCTGCTGCTGCTGCCGCTGCTGCCCCTCGGGCAGCCCCGCACGTATCGGCCGAAGCGTCTGCCCGACACTTCTGCTTCCTGAGGCTCAGGGTGCACAGGGGATGGCTGTGGCTCAGATGGTGTTGGCCTTGGTTTTATGGAGTTTCGCTGTTCTGAAGGACACACAGAGCTGTTAACGGGGACCTTTATGACTGCAAACCCTGTTGTGTAAAAGCCTGCTCGCAGGTGCTGGCAGGCCCGCTCTGGCTCCTGGGTGCCGGGCTCACGAGAGCTCCGGCAGAGCAGCTCAAGCCCAGGTGCGGAGAGCCGGTCAGGAGCCCTGGGAGGGCTCTCCTGGGATCGGTGCGGGGTTCCACTCTTGGTATGGGGCACTTTGTGTGCTGCCTCCAGAGGACTCCGCTCAGAGCCCTGGACAGGCTGGTCCTTGCTCTGCCTGCCCGTGTGCCGGGCACACACACACGGAAGATACGTTCGCTTCTCAGTTACAACTCGGCCCCTCAGCGCTCTCCCTCTCTGCTCTTGCACGCGCTCCGGGCCCGGCTGAGGGACAGAGCCGCGGCCGGGGATTGGCTGCGGGGAGGTGCAGGGGGCGGGGCCAGGCCCGGGGATTGGCTGCAGGGGGCCGCAGGGGGCGGGGCCGTGCACGCTCATGGCCAGGCCGGGGCGCTCGCCTGTTCCCCTGTTCCTTGCGTGTCCCTGTGGTGTCCCTGTGGTTTCAGCATCTCCTCGAACGGCTGCGGCCTGCCGGCCCCGCCTCTCACCTTTCACCTCCGGGGATTCCGCTCGGCACTCACCGGGAAGCCCCAGTGGTGAAAAGAGCGGCCGCTGACCGGCATCGCTGAGAGAGCTTTGCGGGCGCTGCCCGGCAGAGCTGAGGGGTCGAGCCTCTGAGAGGGTCCGGAAAGTCCCGGCGGGCCGGGGTTTCCCCGCCGCCCCCGGGATGACGCAGCCAGGCCCCCCGGGGGCGGCCGCTAAGGGCCGGAGCCGGGTGTCCCGTGCGCAGTGCCGCCGCCCCGCTCCGACCCATGGCTCCGGGCCGGGCGCTGCTGCCCGCGGCGCTGCTGGCGCTGGCGCTGAGCCCGGGACCCGCGGCCGCGCTGCCGTGCATCGCCGAGTGCCCGGCAGGTAAGGGCCGGGCCGGGCCGCGATGCTCCGGGCGCGGCCCGCGGTGACCGCTGTGTCTCGGCCCGCAGGTACTTTCGCAGCGAGCGCGGACTGCGGAGCGGGAGCGTCCTGCCGACCCTGCCCGGCCGGCACCTTCTCCAGCTCGGCGGGAAGCGACGGCTGCAGAATGTGTCGGCAGTGCCAAGGTACCTGCGGCGGCGCCACCCGCCCTGCTGTGACCTCCCGTGGCAGCGCCGTGCCCGGGCTGGCACCTGCCCGGCGGGGGGACCCGCCGCTGGGCAAATAACGCCGCGCGTCCGCCGGGCTTCTCGCTGAAGCCGCCAGCCTGATTTTTGTGAAGAGCAAAGGCCCGAGCTTTTCCTGCACCATGCCGGGTATTCTGTAACCTAGAACTCGTTTTCCCCTTGCAGGACTATTTCAGTATTCAAAAACGTGTTCCTCAACGAGTGATGCTGAGTGCACGTGCAAGGAGGGCTATCGCTGCGGCGGTGATGGCTGCACCTACTGCACCCGAAGCTGTGGCGTGGGCCAGGAGAGCACCAGAAACGGTAGGATCACCTTTCCCCAGCAGCTGAAAGCCCCTCTGCTTCCTGCATCAGACACACTGCCTCTTGCACAGTGGAGAAGCAGATAGAGGAAAGACCTCTCAAGATAAAAGCTGCCGCCGCTGCTAAACACTTTGCACGGTGTGTGGAGTAAGCTGAGGAGGAGACAAACCCACCACACTGAGCCCTACTACAGCTCACATCATGCACCAGCTGGTTCCCTTTGCATGGCAGCTCTTTGGCTGCCAGCATGAGGGAAACTGTTCTGGGAACTCTGGAGTTAGGCCATGGTATGTGGCATCTTGCACAAATCAACTGACTTTGCAGCCAAGTACTGAACTGCTCTGGGGCTGACAGGGGAACACCTTGCATATTCAGAGCAGCTCATGAAATAGTAATTCTGACATTGTACAAGCAGGAAAAAATAATGTTTCATATGTTGTGTCTTAAATGCTTGTGCAATTTTACCTATCCTTGTCTGCTGAAGGTTGCCAGACTTGCCGCAATGGAACCTTTAATGATCAGCCCAATGGCTCCTGTAAAAACTGGACAATGTAAGTAAACTGAAAAAAGAAAATACGCTACAGCTATTACTGGACACTTGACTGGAATTTAAAAAACTTTTTTCTGTTTTGCTGTAAATGTCCTTCAGATGCTCTGGAAACCAAGTCCTGGAACCTGGAACTCCAGCAAAAGATGTCATTTGCAAACACACTTCAGTTAATCCCACTTTAGTCACTGCTGTACCTACCACATCTCTTGAAATTCCATTTTCTATAACTGTGCCAGGTGAGTCACTATGGAGGTAAAGCATTATGACCTACTTAAATATACTGTAGCTCGTTCACTTTCCATTTAAAGCAAAAATCCTTTCTTCTGTGTATTCCCAGTGTTGCAGACTGATCCAGAAGCAGAGTGGGAGACAAAGTTTTCAGTTAATTCAGTAGAATTAACAGTAGAATTTTGTTAATTCTCTTAGAGAATGTTATTTATTTCTTAGGGAAGACTGTTCAGACAGACATGATCAGGATTTCTCTCGCTGTGGCTGGACTGTCGTGCATAATGTTTCTGCTGCCTTTGTGCATCTGCTTCAGTGTCTGGCAGAAAAAGAAACTACACTCTGTCTTCAAGAAAAGTAAGATAAATACCCTCTTCAGTTTTTCTTTTTGAAACTAGACAGAAGTCAGGAATCCAGGTTAAGTGGATTTCAAAGGTAGTTGCAATAGCTTTGTTTTTTTTGGCCTTGTAAGTCAGAAGCAACTGAAAGGGAAACAGTTTTGGATATTTTATTGCAGAAAGCACTGTGGGTGTTAGGTCAAGTGCATGTTTAACCTTAGAAGTGAAGTATTTGTGAGAGATGAAAAAACTCAGCTGAGCTTTGCTGCTCCAGTTAAAGGTCAGTTCAGTTTATTACTTCCAAGCATCATCCTTGGCCTGCGTGGCTGTAACACTATTGAGTTCTCTCTGCTCACAGAGAGTACCCATGGCCTGGAGTGAGTGTCTTGGAAGTCTGGCTGCAGTAGGAGAGGGGACATCAGTCAGGCTGTACTGCTGCAGAGTCAGCCTGAATCCAGCACTGCCCTCTGAGAACTGCTAAGTCCTGGGCAAGCTCAAGAGTTCAGCACAAAGATGAAGCTGATTTCATTCAATGTAGTTTTTAGATGGTTTGTTTCGTTTTTTGTGGGGTTCTTTCTCCCTTTCTCTTATTTTCCCCTGCCCTAAGGACAAGGTCTGAATCTTCTAGTGGAACTCTAAATACAGAAGACCACGGCAGTCCAAAAATCTGTTTCCTTCACACTGGTCTTCCTTTCAATGCCATGACAAACAGAGCAACAGAGGCCCTGCTGAATTAGGGAAAACAAAGTATGATAAATTAGCTTTATCAGATGTACATTCTGTAGAGAAATAATTTCAGATGATGGAATAACTTGGAAGATGTTTTCTTCCTGGCATTTATGATTGAGGGGTGGTGAAATAAGATGGCTGAATAAATGAAACAGAAAGGGGACATTTGTCCAGTTCTGAACCCCTCACTTTAAGAAACATTGAGGTGCTGGAGGGAGTCAAGAGAAGGGCAACAAAGCTGAGGAAGACTCTAGAAGGTAAAGTCTTTGAGGAGTGGCTGAGGGAACTGGGGTTGTTTAGTCAGAAGAAAAGGAGGATCAGGGGAGACCTTGCCCTCTACAGCTCCCTGAAATGTGGCTGTAGCCAGCTGGGAGTCTGTCTTTTCTCCCAGGCAACCAGTGACAGGACAGGAGAACAAAGCCTTAAGCTACACCAGGGGAGGTTCAGGTTGGAGATGAGGAGGAATTTCTTCCCCAAAAGGGTTTTTAAAGATTAGAACAGGCTACCCAGGGAGGTGGTGGAGTCACTGTCCCTGGAGGTGTTCAAGAAACAACTGGACGTGGCACTCAGATCTCTGGTCTGGTTTACAATGTGTATGGTCAGAGGTTGGACTAACTGATTCTGTGATTCTGTTCTTTTTCTTCAGTGCACACACCTGAACAGTCAATTCAGGAAGATGATGCCTGCAGCTGCCGCTTCCCTGAGGAAGAACAAGGTGAATATCAGGACCCTGGCAAATCCACAGAATTCAGAGATCTTCTGGTGAACTAGAAATTGAACTAAGTCAGCCACATTTGAATTTTCTTTTAAAACACAGAACAAGAACCTGTTTATGTAAATAGAGTGGATGTCAGCTTCTGAGTGTTAGAGCAGTAAATAGCCAGCCACTGAGGAAAAAGTACTATTTTTTAATATTTCTTTAAAAAATAATAAAAAAAAAAACCTCCAAAAAAGTTTGCTGGTTTTCTTCCTCTAGGAGTAAGGATATTTCTAAGGAGTGGTTCTTGATCTACATGTAGAAAGAGGTACTGCATTTAATAGCTCCAAGTGCAGAATAGTTTTCTGGTCCCTCATTAATGCTACCCGAGCCATAATTTACATGCACTCCAAAAGCATTTGAAGCTAAAAAGGAGATCTGTAACACACTGCAGAGTCACTGGTGACACTCATGGTACTTTTAGTACTAGCCATCCTCTTGGGTCTGGAGCCACAGCTCCTCCCAAAGTCTGGCCCAAACCCTGAAGCCTTGGGATTTGTGTGTAAATACAGATGGAGCTCATTTGATCCCATCAGCCCTGGATACAGACCCCTGGCCTCACCACTGCACCCCTCCTTACATTAAGGGGAAAGGAAGCCATAAAAATCTTGTGCTGCAAAGTGTTCCACAGCAGCATCTGCTGTTGTGTTACACCGATTGAGGGAGGCAGTGGAAACACTGAGAGAAGCTGTGGTTGACTTGAGCTTAGAAACAGCTGTTACTGTGCAGCTGAACTGCACCACCTTCAGCCCTACATCATTTAGCTTTGATCTTTTAGGTGATGTAAACTTTATGTACATTGCAGCTGTAAGTGTGCTATCTTTGTGGTGCTATTTTTGTAACTGAGGTTGGAAAGATTTTAACATCAGACACTGTATCTGTCTCTCTGATCAAATACTGTTAACTTTGGTCTTGAGAAAAAAGTTAAAATGCACATTTGAGTCATGGCATTCGCAACACCATTTTAACAAAACTCACATATTTTACATCAGTAAATACTATTCAAAAATAGAATGAAAACACACCAATATGTGGATTAAGGGAGGATTTCCCCCTCTCTGATTTCAGTGCAAGAGAAAACTATTTTGCATTTGAACAGTGACAAGCTGTCTCTTCATTCAGCAGGTTACAATAGCAGATTATTTTCACCAAGCCAGACTTACACATTCTGATAAACTTACATACAAGTAAATATAAAATAGGAAGTTTAAATAGTGAGAAAATAAGTGCCATATTGTGAAGTTTTTATTTTTACCCCTAGCTCAAGTCCTCTCTAGTGGTATTTTCAACCATGAGAACCGAGTAACTGTTATGTCAAAGTCACAAACTTGAAGGCATGAAAAGCCACCAAACTATTTATAAAGTTCTCTATTTATAAATCAAAGAGTCACCTTTGCAGCATTGACTATATCTTAGAACAAGAGAAAAATAATAGTTCTGCTTGTCATCAATTTCCAGTCCAAACATAAGGTAGAGAATTAATTTATGTGTCCTGTAACTCAAAACAGTTGGTGTTTTCTTCTTGGAAAAAAAGACATATCAGCTGGAAATTTACATTTTTTACTAGTAAATACTGCATATAGTTTGAAATATATTTTGAAATGCTTCAAATAAAGTGCAAACCCCTTTTTCTTCTATAAATCTGCTTAGTGACCAGTGGGGACACATTCCTCCAAAACTGGAGTTCTGGACTGCTTCAGGGAATAGTCATTCACAGAAGGCACATTCTGAATAAAATGTTAGAAACAACCTTCCTTTCAATCAAAAATTAATTTTGATAAATAATTATGTGGATAATCTTACCTGTGAACTTCTGTCCTTTGGGAGTGCTGAGAGCTGAATTAATGATGAACAGATTTTGTTGGCACAAACATCTGTTGTCAAATGTGTGCAGATGATACATTTGCATTTCACAACGATGCATCACCTGGCCACAGAAGCAGCACAAGAGATTTGCTAATTTGTACTTCTTTGAAATACTTCAAATATATTTAAAAGCAAACATGTTTCTAAATAAGAACCAAGGAAAGACTGGAAGATACCATATTTTGAAAAGTGAAATAAATTGTGGTACAGTTGCAAAGGGAAGATCAGGGCACTACACAGTGTGCAGTTCTTGCTCACTCCCCAAAAGATTTGGCAGTAGAGCTGTGGTCCTCACAAAACTGAAAATAAATACAGGTCCTCACAAAACTGAAAATAAATACAGGTGAATTCATCTGTTTTGCCACCAAGCACCCAAGCAGGATATTCCAATTCTTAACATGAGCACCACTACAAATACCAAGATAGTTGGAGTGCTTAGCTGTTTTCAGATTTATACCATATTCAAATCCTATGAATTGTGGCTGTCTATAAAAAAATCAAATTAGAGCCATAGAATCAGGCACTTCCTTGAACATCATTCATACTTGTGTGGTGTGTAATTTACCTTCACTGTGATCATATAGAACAAATGTATTAGAAGCTTGCTCCCATTTTAGACCCCTCATAAACAGATATTTAATAAAAAAGTACTAAAGAACTTGCTTAAATCTTCCTTTTTGTTATGTTTGTAGGAGACAGCTGTAAAACCACTTCTGGCAGTATGCTATGAAAATGCAATAAGCAGACTCTTCAATTAAGTTTGTTAGGAAGCTTGCATCTGCAAAAAAGCCACATACTTGGACCTTCATTTCTTCATTTTTAAGTTACCCTTTTGTCTTCTGAAAAAAAGTCAATAGCAGGTAGTAAAACTTGAGTCAAAGGCAGATAATATGACAAGGGGCTACTATGCAAACCATGGAAGCAGAAATGGTATCAGTGTGCAGTTTTTAAAAATACTTTGTTCTTTGCTTTTACAAAGTGTTACATTGTAAAATTTAGGAATCATCAGTGACTAGATTAAAAGAAACACTGTAATCACAACTAAATTTCTATTAGCTTCCCTGAATAGAATTTGTGGCTGAATTTGTCTGTTTTTTAACACAGATGATAGAAGCCTTCCTGCCTGCATGTGAAGCACTGTCAAAAATCTTTCATCCAGGAAGAGTGAATGGGAAAAAACTGCACTGTATCTTTTACTATTGCTAATTAAAGCAGAAAGAAGCAGGAAATCCTGGCTGTCCATAATTCAGAAGAAGGGTTGTGAAGAAGAAGGTTTATTTGGCAATGACAAAGAGTTGATAGATCATGTGCACCTTGGCTTCACAGGGAGCTTTTATTGAACACACAGGTTGTTCAATACCTGAAGAACAGGTTGTTGTGAGCTGTCGTGGTTACAGAGAAGGGAGATGGAGTTTAGTGCTGGATGGGGGTGGCCAAGCTACACCACACACATCCTCACTGGGGTGTGGGTTTTGGGCAGGAAAAGCTGGGGGTCTGGAGCTGGAGGTTGCCTCACTTACCAGAGCAGGGGGACTGTCCCCAGGCAGCTCTGGTGACCTCAGTTCCTCTGCTGCTTCCCCCCTCCCTCTGGACTGAGGCTGTGGGGCTGAAGGGCCAGCTTTGAGGTGCTGCTGAGCCAGCAGGGCCAGGTGGCACGAGGTCAGCACCCCAGCAGGGACATTTCTTTGTCCTCAGCAGTGGAGAAATGGCAGCAGGAGCAGCTGCAGAAAACCGAGCTCAGTGAAGTGGCTACACAGCTCTGATTTGAACAACAGAGCTTCTGGGGGTTGTTCATCTCTGGTTTTTGTTGTTTTCAGGCTGGGGGGGGGACATTCACCATGGGAGCTCTCCTCCCCATATTGCCTTTGTTTCCCAAATACTACATGGAGCAGGACAGAGGAATGATCAGGGCAAAGGCAGAATTGAAAGGAAATATCTGGCAGTACATTTTTTTTGTTCCCTATGCTGAATAACCTTCCCTTTTCTAGATTTTTTGCTATTAATACAGCTGCTGTTATTGTGTGTCTCATTCCACTGCTTTCTGGTGTTAGGAAATTGTTATATCAAACCATAATCTCTCCTTTATTGTCCCTCCTTCACTGGAAGGGGTAGAGGAAAGAGAGAGGCCTATTTGGAGTTTAGTTCCTTGCTGGTGTTAAGCTCAGCACACCCATTCATGTACAAGCAATGCAGATCAGTCCTTCCAGCTGGCCCAGAAGATCAAGTACATCCTGGGCTCCCCAAAAGAGGAGCAGGCAGCAGGTCGAGGGAGGTGATTCTTCCCCTCCACTCTGCCTGTGAGACTCCTCAGTGCTGTGTCTGAGTCTGGGATCTTCAGCACAAGAAGGAGGAACCTGTTGGAGCAGGTCCAGAGGAGCCCACCCAGATGCTCCAAGGGCACCTCTGCTCTGCAGCCAGGCTGGGAGAGCTGGGGGCTTTCACCTGGAGAAGACTCCAGGGAGACTGAAGCCTTTCAGTACTTAAAGTTATAAAGAGGGAGAGGGACTTTGTACACTGACAGTGATAGAACAAGAGGGAATAGTTTTAAACTCAAAGATTTAGTTTAGATGTTAAGAAATTTTTACTAAAGGAGTGGTGAGGCCCTGGGAGAGGTTGCCCAGAGAAGCTGTGGCTGTCCCATCTCTGGAATTACTCAAGGCCAGGTTAGACAGACCTTGGAGCATCCTTGGAGCATTATCTATTGGTAAGATCCCGGCCCATGGCAGGGGAGTAGAACCAGATGATCTTTGAGGTCCCTTCCAGCTCAAATCATTCTGTAATTCTATGGCAACATTTTAAGTGTTCTCTGCTTTTTGTGCATGTCTCTTTTTTTTGACATTTAATTTATTATATAGCAAGCAAAATGGAGCTGGGAATGCCCTGATGACTCTCAAGCAGCCCAGGTGGCTGAGGATGAGGTAACAGGCCAGATGCAAGCTTTTTGAATTTCCATTTGTTTTTCTTGGAAATCAGAAAGTGTCCTCTTAGCCAGACCATGCACAGAGGCCCAAGTGATGTCAGCAGAGTTCTGAAGGCATGGAAGAAGGAGAAAAATTCTCTTTAAAGATAAGTATAAGCAGAGGAGCCTGCTGCTTTTTTATTCCTTTCAGAACCAGCACCATTTCCTGGCATCGTTAGTGGCATCAGTCATTAAAATCATGGTCATCACACACCTTGGCTTTGTAATTTCTTGCAAGAATTGTGTGGCTAAGGAAAGTAGAAGGTTCATAGCAAAAGGGTTTCTGTTTCTCACCTCCCTCTCCACCTGTAGGAACAGGTATTTCTGTGTCTAATACTTCTGGATGACAGAGACTCTGAAACTGCAGTGGC